ACCGTGCTTGGCAGGAAGGGACAAACTTTTAAGGCACAGAAGTGCTAGAAGAAACTTGGCAATATCAATTTAAACCAAATAAAATTATTATATCAAACATTTTGAAAGTATGTTTAGAAAATGTGATAGACAAAGGTTTATTATTCTGAGGGCTGTCAGGGAAACCATCAGAGCCCAGCAGCTAAGAGAGGGGACAGAAGTGAGGAGGAAACTGCAACAGAGAGATTCATGTGGCCTTCCTTAGCAGTTGGAGACATGCACGTGCAGGCAGCAGGGGGCCATTTGCCACCTGTCCCATTTTCAAAAAATACGTTGAAATTATAACACAGCACACTGGCCAGAGTGGGGAGCAGGTGCTCTTGTGTTATACCAGTGAGGGCATGGGTTTGGGAAAGGAAGTGGTACTTAGTGCCAAGAGGAAGGGAAAACCTGTACACAAGATTTTTATCAATGTGGTATTTATAGTAGCCAAACCCAAATATGACCCAAGGGATTAGTTATGCAAATTATGGCTGCCAATGCTGAATGGGGCACATAGCAGCTACTTAGCCAGCCTACAGTGGATATGGACAACTGGACCTGCCATCATGGCCACTTTCCTATTCTTTGCATGTGAGGAAGGCTGGCGGACATAGAGCTAGATTCAGTGTTAGGAACTGAGCTGTCCTCTTCCTCTGCTGCAGCCACCTGCCACACAGCTGTAGAGACTCAGTGGGACAGTGAACATGGCAGCCCTTGACACCTTGTATTCATCTGCAAGACCAATTGCCTCCTGGGAAGTAAAATTGAACCCACTGAGGAGAATGCCCACCCTCAGGGCCAAGAATAGCTAAGTCAGGGCAAGCAACCAGGCCTGACAACAGATGCTACCCTGGTCAAAGGGTCCAGTTGCCTCATCTCTCTGCCCTTGGGATACTTAATAGAAGTTCCAGGTCTTAACTGCTGCTTTTTAGTCTCCAGCCTCATATAGAGGCTGCCAGATGAGAGAAGTTTTAGGCACAGAGAATGACATTAGCAAGGTGTGTGATACTTAGCGAATTAAAAGCCATTCCATTCAGTCAGGTAGAAGTAGCACACACCTTTAGTCCCAGCACTTGGGAGATAGAGGCAGGTGGGTCTCTGTGAATTGAGGCCAGCCTGGTCTACAGAGTGAGTTCCAGAACAGCCAGGGCTACACAAAGACACGGTGACTCAAAACAACAACAACAAAAAACATTCCATTCAACTGGTATGATGTCAGAAAATTGGTGCCCTTAGAGTTAGTAGGTAAAGAAGTGTATATCTTCACCATGTTCTGACCACATCCAATGAAATGGAGTGAAGAAAATGTAGATCAAAAGCAAAGTGGCCACCTCAGGCTCATCTACCCTTTTGAACCCAGTATCATGTCTTGGAGACCTCCATATCTTCCACCCTAACAGGACCAAGGCCACTTCCATCCTTGAGAGTTGTCTGTTGCTCTGAGCCTACCCTCCAACCCTGGAAGGCTGTTTGCAGGGGCTGCAAGCAGAGTGTATATAGAGAGAGTAAGGAGACCGCAAATAGGAGCAGGTTTTACCATGTGGGAGAGGCCTGGGCAGGAGGAGGGCTTTAGCCAGTTTTCCCTACAGTATCATGGTCGGTATAGGTCTCAAGTCTGAATTCCAGATTCCAACTCTGCCATCCATGGCACTTTCTCCTTTTGTTTGTTTTTGTATTGTAACCACTCTGGCTGTCCTGGAACTCAATTTGTAGACCAGAGAGACCTCCAACTCACAGAGGCCACCTGCCTCTGCCTCCCAGGTGCTGGGATTAAAGGGGTGCTCCACCACTGCCTGGCTCCATGGCACTTTCTAAAGTAAAGGTAGACTGTGTTTTATTTAACAGCTTGATAGACTGATTTGTAACTTATTTTCTCACTTATTGCTGCAGTGCTGGAGTGTGATCAAACAAGTGCTTTACCACTGAGCTGTCCCCCTCTGGCAACGTAGGAAGTGTTCTTAACCACCGACCTTCTCTCTAGTCTCTGGGCTAAAGACTTACAATAACAGAAGCGAACAGGAGCTGGCTGTGAGCCAAACATTGTGTATGTGTGGCTTCTAACTGTCAAAACAACAAACCACTATAAAGCTGGAACTGAAATTCTTTTCCTGTAGTTGAAGATAATGAGACTTAGGAAGGGTAGTGAAGTACCTCAGGGCATAGAGTGAGCGGCTGGGAGTTGGGGTTGAATCTCAGACCAGCAGTCTTAGCTGTTGACGCCAGCCATCCCAGAGAGCAGTGGGAGCCACTGAGGATTTTAAACGTGAGAGGGTCAAGACCAGACCCATGCAGGGAACTGAAGCACTGTGAGATGGTGGCTGCTACAAAGACTCCAGGAGAACTGGTGACCTAGCCTGAGTTAGTAGCTGTGGGCACATCTGCCCTGTCAGTGGCTGTGGAAAGTCAGACTCCTTTGAAGAAATCCTCCACAGGACCCTAGCAGGGGAACACTTCCTTATTTTCTTCCCAGATCTTCTTCCACTTGGTTCTGGCTATTCTGAGCAGAATAGGTTGCATCAGCAGGAGCCTGGCAGCTCCACACACAGGATCCAGCCCAGACTTGACCAAGGCAGGGACATTCCTGGAGGAGGGAGTGACAAGGAATGCAGCCCACAGCTGTCCTCAAGGAGAGGTGCCATGGCACTGACTGGCCTCTGGGTTGTGTCCTGTGGGTGGGAGAAGTGAGACGGAAGCAGCCTTCATGCCAACGGTGGGCTTGACAATGCACCCGGCATCAGGCAGGCCTCCAGCACCCACCCTGCCTGCCTGCAGGAACCAGCGGGAAAAGCTAGCTCCACACTCCCGTGTCTGAACGGGTGCAGGTGTGGACCTGTGCAGGTGGGCATGCATGCTGGCCTTTCTGTGGTGCCTGACACCTCCAGCCACGCCCTCTGTTTCAATCTCTTGGCTTCTGCAACACTCAGTCATAATAGGAAAGATTTATTGAGTTCTCGCTGTATACCAGACACTGCCAGATACTATCAAACACAGCATCTCTTTTAATCCCTTCAGCTTTCTGGGAAGTCAGTCTTGTCATCAGTTTTATGCAAGAGGAACCTGGGGCTTAAACAGATGACGTGATGTGCTCCCAGGTCACAGAGATGTGGAATTGGGATGTGAGCATCAGTTTTCCATGCTGGAAAGCCTGTCCCATGTACACATCTGAGAAGAGGAGCGGTGGGTTGGGTGGTTGCTTGCTTGCCTGCTTGATGTTAGGAGATAGGCTGAGATTTGGTTGGTACCTGATTTATTTTTTAATTTAACTTATTTATGTATATGTGTTGGGTGTTTTGCCTGCTCTGTGGACCACATCTATGCCTGCTACCCAAAATGGCCAGAAGAGGGTGTTAGATCTCTGAGACTGGAGTTATAGACAGTTGTGATCTGCCACGTGAGTGCTGGGAACTGAACCTGGGTCCTCTGGAAGAGCAGCTGGTGATCTTAGCCCCTGAGCCATCTCTCTAGCCCCAATATGTAATATTTTCATAGCTGGGAAGACAAAAGCTCACATCACACTTCTTTTTTTGGCTTTTTGTTTTTCAAAACAGGCTCTCTCTTTGTAGCACTGGCTGTCCTGGGACTCACTCTGTAGACCAGGCTGGCCTTGAACTCACAAAGATCCACTTGCCTCTGCCTCCCGAGTGCTGGGACTAAAGGTGTGCACCCACCTCCCGGCTTCACACCTTGTTCTTAAATTCTACTTTTCCCTGAATTTTCGAGGAAGCTTTGCAACAGGACAGTGACTGACGAGAAGATGTGGAAGAAATCCACTGCCTGGTCCTCTAATGTGGGGCTCCTGGGACTTGGGACCCAGGCATGGCACTCTTCCCTAGGGGCCCAACACTACCCTAGCCACTTCTGACTACCCCAAGGTAGTACAAACATCAGAGCTTGCACACATATGGGGCTGGGGCAAAAAGTGTTCCTCACAAGCTGGGCGGTGATGGTGCATGCCTTTAATCCCAGCATTCGGGAGGCAGAGGCAGGCAGATCTCTGTGAGTTCAAGACCAGCCTGGTCTACAAGAGCTAGTTCCAGGAGAGCCTCCAAAGCCACAGAGAAACCCTGTCTCGAAAAAAACAAAACAAACAAACAAAAAAAAAGTGTTCCCCACATATGTGTGCACATCAGCATGTATGCATGTGTGTATTATAGGTGTAAGAGGCTACTCACTCCTTACGGGAAATGGAACACACGAGTTGTCAAGTTAGTCATTTCTCCTCTCAGAAGATTAGCTGAGAGGAGTGAGGCTGGCCCGCCCTTCCCCACTGGCACTTCTTTTCAGATTCTTAGAGGGATTTGCAGTAAGCTAATTCCCTCTAGTTTCACATCGTGGTTAGATCCTGGACCTTTTTTTTTTTTTTTTTTTTTTTTTTAATTTATCCAGGCCCCTGTATTACAGAAGGTGTTTTCAAAGGGAGGAGTAATTGTCTGTCGAGAAATTGTGAATCTACTCCAAAACCTTAACAATCTGAGTGTTTGTTCAATAGCAGGGGCCTTCTTGAGGCTTCACAGGATCGCCCTGTATGCCCTTGATGCTTCCTGTACAGCAAGCAATATTTACTGGGAGGTACATAAGTCTGAAGCTAAAGGTTCCTGAGAACCTTTTCTGGAGCATTATCCTCATGAGGATGATTTGAATCATCTCATTTATTGAAAGTCCCATTCAACTGTCTATGGAAGTTCCAAGTGAAAGCCTTAGATCAAAGTCCTTGAAAACATACATAAGACAGTCAATCCCATGTGGAAGGCCTGTGGGGAAGTATCCTTGGAGAATATAGCCAGAAAGTATGAGAAGGCAAGAAACAGCCAAGAGTGAGGGTGGTGGAAGATAGCTCTAATCACAAGCTTGACCAATCCAGATTGGTGGTATCCACAGCAAGACATTCCCTTAACAGCCTACCATTGGCCACAGCTACCTGCTGGAGGAAGGGCCTCCTATTAGGAGTACAGATCCTTGTCACTAAGCAGCAAGCACAGTTCAGGACAGGTCTGTCAGACTTGAGCCTGGCGAAGAATGGTATTCCTACGCATAGTCTTTGCGTAAGGGTTGAGCTTCAACATGATTCTCAGGTTCTTCAGTGGGTTCTTCTTCAAGACTCTACGATGAATCTTCTTGCGTGGTGCTCGGAGGACTCTTTGGATCTCTGGGCTTTTCAAGATTCTGCTAAGGTCTGTGTTCATCATCTTGTGCATGAGAAGGTTATAGTTACTCTTTTGCCAAGTGCCATACAACTCATGTAACTTTCGGAAGGCACTCTCAGTCCAAATGCAGAAACGTCCCACATGTCCACCAGGAGCAAGTTTCACAATGTTCAGTTTGCTTACATTGAGCAGAGTAATACCAGGGATGTTCCTGAAGGCCTTGATGATACCATTATCCTCATTATAGATGACGCAGGGTCCCCTGTGCTGGATACGGCTTCGGTTTCTCATTTTTCCTTTGCCCGCTCTCATTCTCTGAGAGGCATAGACCTTTTTGATGTCATTCCAAGCTTTAAGCTTCTTAAGCAGCTGAACAGCCTCCTTGGTCTTCTTGTAACCTTCAACCTTATCTTCAACTACCAAAGGGAGTTCAGGGACTTCCTCAATCCGATGACCTTTAGACATCACCAAAGCTGGCAAGGCTGAGGCAGCCAGGACAGAACAGATGGCATATCGCTTTTGGGTTGTGTTCACTCTGCGGTGCCAACGACGCCAGGTTTTGGTTGGTGCAAATGCGGCCTCCCCGGCACATATTTCCAAAGGCACCCTGGCCAGAACCGTGGGTTCCTCCACCTCGGACTCTTGGAATTCGAGCCACAGCTCTGCCAGCACCCCAGGACTCAGCACTGGTCTGATGACCTGCCAATTCACTCACGGCATACGGCTGTCTGTTGTTTTTTCTCAAGTTTGTGTGAACAAAGTTCACAATATCCGGTCAAATAGGAGCTTTGAACACAGTTGGCAAAGTGACATTTTTGCCAGATAATTCCCCCTTTTCAGAGTACACCGATATGAGGGGACGGTCGGGGAGAGGAGAGGGCCACGCTTCTCTCAACCCGACGGATCCCACAGGAAAAGCGATCCTGGACCTTTAAAGCATGCTAAGGATGCAAATGATGGTTTCGATGACAATGCCTCAGGACATAGGTAGATGTAGTTGGATTCTTTCTGTCAAGCCCGTCAGTTACCACAGCCACTTATGAAATGACACTCTGAGGCTTAATATTAAATAGAATTGTTAGGCCAATGGCTCAAACATATTACTGGCTAGCTCTCCCTTATAAAGTAACCCATTTCTATTAATCTGTATGTTGCCACGAGGCTTACCAGTAATTCTCTGGCATGTTGTTCCTTTGGCGGCTACATGGCATCTCCCTGACTCCACCTTCCTTCTCTGCATCTTTGGGTTTCTGGCCTAGCTATATTGTGTCTGGCCATGGGCCAAAACAGCTTTATCCATCAACCAATAAAAGCAACACATATTCACAGCATCCAGAAAGACATCCCACATCAGGTAGATTCTGGATTCCACATTGGAATCCAGGCTAAATGTGCTCCGCTGTGCCAGCCGTATATATGCCCCAGCATGTTCCCTGTGTAAAATGGGTCATGGGGCACTGAGTGACCCCTGACTCTCCTCGGAGCTCTTGGAAGGCAAGGGAGATGTCTTTCCCCTGTGCTGCAGACTCCAGATGCAGACAGGAGTGGTAAGCTGTAATGGCCTGGCAGAAAGACACCTGTGTTGGGACCAAGACACTAGGTTTCATTCTGGGCACAGCCTCAAGGGTTGTGTGAGTTTGAACATGTTCCATTTGTGTCTGTGAAGTAGATGAAAGGAGAAATAAGTGGTAGAGCCTCTCCCTTCCCCCCCCGTGCCCATTCCCCACACCCCTGCTGCTCCTGGGGGTGGGGAACCTGTTTTCTTTCTCCTCTTGATGTATATGAGAACTGGCACTAGGAGTGAGTTGTTGGGGCCTGCTAGGCTCTAGAGAAGAGAGGTCTGAGGCCTGTGACCAGCACATCTGTCACTCCTGGACATCCATCACAGCCTGGCCCATCCAGAAGGGGCTGCTTCCTAACTCTCCAGTGGTTCAGCCTGTTCTCTTCCATGCTGGCACTTTATTACCCTGCTACCCCGACCTTTACACACACAGCCACGGGCCTGGGGAGGGACACAGAAGCCACCAAGAACTGGTGCCTAGTTGGTTAATCTAATAGGTTGAGACCTAGAAGTTGCTCTGATCTATGAAAGGACAGAGAATAGCTGCCAGAGAAACAAAGGTGGCCTGGGGTGAAAGACAAATGGAACATGGTTGAAACAGAGACAGGGCTGAGGAAGTGCTGGCCATTTGGGGCTGTTCTGCTCCTGAGGCCAATGGAGGGGCTTCAGAAAAATGTCATATCTCCTTCAGTAGCCATTCCCTGTCCCAGCTGGGCTGGGTCCTGGGCTACAGAAATCTGTCAGAGAGGAGCCCAGCCCTGTGTAATTCTCACAGTGACCCACATCGTAAACAAATCCCTGGTTTGTCCATAAGGAATCTGTTCCTTGCTCAGAGTGCCCCTTAAGCAGAGCTGAAGCTGAATCCCAGGACCAAGGCTCTCAACTCTGTGTTTTATCACCTCCCAAAGGTGGTAAAGGCACTTCCTCCTTGGGGTGCAGGAGATCAGGAAAGATGAGCAAGAGGCAGGTCTAGGCAGGATGCATCATGGGGAGTGGGGTATTAGGGATAGCATAGCTTGGAGGAGTTACTAGCAGTGGTTCAGAGGGCTTGGGTGTGAACTGAGGCAGCCGGACATGATGTAAGCCGGTTTGTATTTGGAAAGATCATCCTGGCAGGGTAATATGGCTTGGGAGGCAGAGGCAGCCCTTCTGGGTACTCAGTTCCATGTGTTACATAAACAACTGGGATTCAGCAGTCATTTGCATGTGCCACATGCGTTCTATTCATTCTGCGGGGCTCTGGAGTGTTTAACAGGCATAGAATGGGCCAGTTGTTATGGTAGTCCTGGTGGACAGAAATAAGACAGGGACCTGAGGTGACAGCAGAGGCTTTGGAGAGAGGCATGGATCTATGGGATGAGATGTAAGAAGTAGGTAGCCAGAACAGGACGGGTGGGGGATGGAGGAGCATCAGAAGTATACTCCCAGGTTTCTGGTTTGAAAGATAAGTGGACAGCAGAGGACAGGGATGAGGAGGAGGAAAAGATGTGGACACTATAGGTGTCAAAGAAATGATACCCTGTGGGGGCTGGAGAGATGGCTCAGAGGTTAAGAGCACTGACTGCTCTTCCAGAGGTCCTGAGTTCAATTCCCAGCAACCACGTGGTGGCTCACAACCATCCGTAATGAGATCTGGTGCCCTCTTCTGGTGTGCAGATATACATGGAAGCAGAATGTTGTATACATTATAAATAAATAAAATCTTTAAAAGAAAAAGAAAAGAAATGATACCAGTGTGACAGAATTCTCAGAAAACATAATTCTCATGTCTAACATTTCTTTTTCTGGGCCCTGTATCCCGATATCATTTGGCTGAATTGCTTTTATAAATGTTTGGGATTTTTCTGGTATTTCCATTCTAAGTACCGCTGTAATAAACAGACTGGCAGCCTGGGGGTGGGAGTAATCAGTCGCACGCCTGATTAGCATGAGGATGGCCCTGGGTTGCCACTTAACCTTCTCTAACATCCTTTGGTTTTTGTTTGTTGGAGCCAGGGGTATGGTTGAGACAGGCTCTTGCTATAGGGTAGCCTCCCTTGAAGCCTAGGCCATCCTTCTGCCTCAGTATCACAGGTGCTGGGATTACAAAGAATATTATCGCCATGCCTGGCTACTTCTCATGAGCTTTTTAAAACAACCTCTTTATTGTTTGTGACAAACTTTTCTCCACATGCTTCTCTCTTAAATTTGCCTGGTTTTTTTCTTTAAGATTCGTTTATTTTAAACTCTGTGTTTGTGAATACTCTGTGTGTGTTCTGAAGAGCATGTGTAAGGATGTTTGTGAAGTTGGGCTGGGGTTGTGGCTCAGTAACAGAACATTTACTAGCAGGCCAGTGAGATGACTCCACAGGTAAAGGGATTTGCAAGTGGGGATCTCTCAGATTTTTTTTTTTTTTTTTTCGGGACAGGGTTTCTCTGTGTAGCTTTGGAGCCTATCCTGGCACTCGCTCTGGAGACCAGGCTGGCCTCGAACTCACAGAGATCCGCCTGCCTCTGCCTCCCAAGTGCTGGGTTTAAAGGTGTGCACCACCAATGCCCGGCTCTCTCTCGGATTTTTTTTAACATATATTTGTTTATTTTGTGTGTGTGTGTGTGACACACGTATACATGTATGGGCACATGTGTAGAGGTCAAAGGACAACTTGGTTCTCTCCTTCCACCATGTGGGCCCTAGGGATCAACCTCAAATCGTCTGACTAGGAAGCAAGCACCTTTACCCATAGAGCCATCTCTCGGGCCCCCTGAGCCTCTTTTCTTGTGCCCAGTGATGGCTTCCCCTTGGTGTGCTTAGTTCTTTTCTCTTTTAGTTGATTTTTTTTTCCATGTCTCCTAGGCAAGTAACAAACTTGCTACTTTGGAGGCCATAGTAATGGTTCTGATGCTGCTTGGCTCACTACTTCCTCCGGTATAGGGGAGCTCATGAAAGAATGACTGACGTGGGGGTCTGGACCAGGAAAGGTTAAGATATCAGAAGTCTTTGTGAGGTCGGACAGAAAGAAGGGAAAGGCTAAAGAGGAAAGGCCCCGAGTTGAATGCTGGGGTATGTTTCCACATCCGGGACCAAGCTCCATAAGAGAGAATGAACTGTTCTCCGCACGACAGAGCTGACCATGCAGTTCTGGTCAGGGGCAGGACTGAGATCGGAGTGTCATTCTGCTGTTCTGTGACAGCTCATGAAATGTCTTTATTTTCCAGGTCCACTTTAGCACAGTTGACTGAAAGCCAGGAAAGACAGAAGAAGGGAAAGCAGTCAAGCTCAGCAGAGCAGATAGGCAAATGAGGGCAAGCTTCTGGTGGGCCCCAGCCTCTAGCGGGGAGGCGGGACAGCCGGGCCTGCTGGTCTTCCTTGTGACCCACGGACAACCTGCCCTGCACTCACGACAGAGCAGCACTCCTAACAGTGTCCCACACTTTGTCCTTTGCCTCAAAACTTGCTTTGTGCCCTCCGTTACGCACTTTGACCCCAACACATACCTATGCCTGGCACCCATTCCGTGAGTCCTGACATGCCAAAGCCTTCCTGTGTCAGCAGGGTTATGCCACAGACCTCAAGTTGCCCTTCCACTCATGTCCCCTCTCTTCATTGCTCATTTCTCTGTATACAGCGTGGGTCCTTTCCATTCAGCGGGACACATCATCAGGCGCCCAGCTCATGTCTTCTTATGCTGTGTCTACAGAGTGCATCCGATGGCTTCTGGAAGTCTGTGGCCACTCGAGTGCCCAAGGAGCCCCCAGAGATTCGCATCCTCAATCCATACTTCATCCAGGAGGCCGCCTTCACTCTCATTGGACTGCCCTTCAACAATGGCCTCATGGGCAGGGGGGTGAGACTCCTGGGCAAAGAGGAGGAGGACCAGGCAGGGGAGTCTCAGAAATGGATGGGGAAGGAGGCTCTGTGGGGAGGAAGGCCCATCCTTGGAAATGGGCCAATTTTCTCTGGAGGTCTCAGCCCCACTCCCCCCCCCGCCGCCCCCAGAACTCTACATACGTCCTCTCCTCTCTTCCAGAACATCCCAACCCTTGGCAGTGTGGCAGTGACCATGGCATTACATGGCTGTGATGAAGTGGCAGTCGCAGGCTTTGGCTATGACATGAACACACCCAATGCACCCCTACACTACTATGAAACTGTGCGCATGGCAGCCATCAAAGAGGTGAGGGCCGGGCAAGGGGGCAGTCATTGGGTGGGTGGGGGGCTTCCAGCACCAAGGATGGACTCCGGCATCTGTACTAATGAATGGTAAGGGGAACAGGCAGCTGTTATTAGCCAGTGCTCCTAGAAGGACTACCTTCAGCTAAGCAGCCACTGTTGTCCAGCTTGCATGCAGGCCGCTGGCCATCTGTGCATCCTCTTAACTAGCCATCCTCTGCGCCCAGAGCCCCTCTCTTCAGCTTTCCTCCCGACCACTCCCTCCACAAGCTCTCCTGCCCGGCCCCTGTTCCTTTCCCCTCCCCTCCTTGATCCACCTGGCCATCATACCCTCCTCTTGTCACCAGCTCATACCATCTTCTTCCACAGACCCTGCTTTCCCTGGGAAGATCCCTTGTCCTTCACAAAACCCACAAGTAAACAATGCCTCTTGCTCCCAAAAAGAGTCCCATATCCCCTCCACTCTTGCCTGCACCAACCACAGAACTCACCCAGTGTGCCCCAGGCAACCCATCTCTGTACAGGGAGCTTCTAGATTTCCAGGCCACTGTACCCCACAACAAGGATCGGGGGGCAGAATGGACGCTTCTCATCATCAGCTTCTGCCACAGCCTCTCACTGAGCCGTGCCTGAAGCCTAACAAGCGCAAAGACAGGAGTGACTGGGAAAGTTTCTCACTCATGCAGGTCCACACTCCTGTGAACCCCGGACTCTGGTGGCCACCAGCCCCCATTTCTGCTCAGAAGCCTTTTTACCTGCAACTCCCAAGCCCTTGTCACACTTGAAAGCCTTACACTTGAAAGCTCCTGGCCACCCTTCCTCCTCCAGTGATAAATCTGAAGGCATACAGGGGACTTGGGGGACCCCCTTCTGGAGCCCCCTTTGCCCTCTTCACTCCCATTCAGCCCTTCACCTTGTCACCTGACTTCACTTCCCTCAACGTTACCAGCGACCTGTCTCAGAAAGCTAAATCTCATGGGCAAACACCACATTTTTTCTTTTATTATTGTTGGGAGGGGGCATTGTACCATGGTGCATGTGTGGAAGTCAGAGGACACCTTTTTGATCCCCATGGGTTCTGGGGATCAAACTCAGGCCATCAGGCTTGTACCACAAGTGTTTTTTATTCTCCATCTGAGGGTCAATTTTCCTCATCGCCCAGAAACCTTTTTTCTATTGACTGCTTCTTTCTGCTTAGGGTCCCATCATTTCTATTGTTTCTTACTTCAATCACCCTCTCTCTTTTCTTCTCATTCCTCAGCTTTGGTCTAGCTCTTAATAATCAGCTTTAGGCTGGACATGGTGACAGGTGACACACGCCTTTAATCTCTGTATAATGGAGACAGGGGCAGGCAGGTCTCTGTGAGTTCTAGGCCAGCCAGGGCTACAGTGAGACCCTGTCTCAGTAGAAGAAATGAAGAAGGGGCTATAGGGCTGGAGAGAAATGGATCAGCAGTTGAATACATACAGCTTTGTTCCTAGCACACACACACACATAGCAGATACATGCATACTGGTGTGGGATACACACACACACATACACACACACAAATTTAAAAATTTTGTTTGTTGAGATACAGTTTCTCTGTGTAGTCCCGCTTGTCCTGGAATTCAGTCTGCTCAAGTGACCAGACTGGCTTTGAACTCATAGAGATCTGCCTGCCTCTGCTTCATGAGTGCTCGGATTAAAGGCATATACCATCATGCCCAGCCTAAAACAAACAAACAAACAAACAAACAAACAAAAAACCATAAATATTAAAAACAAAAATCTTATTTAAAAGAAAAAGATCAGAGAAGACCCTGCTGAAAATGTGGGCTGCAGTAGATGGGCAAATCTGATCACGTCCTGCCTCAGCCCACAGGAGGCTCCCAACTTACCTGCTGTGGAAGGAGGGATTAGAAAGAGCACCAGAGTGGAGCAGGCCTGTTCTAGGAGCTACATCCAGGACAAACTTTTGTGCCTTTTCTTTTTCTTTCTTTCTTTCTTTTTTTTTTGTTCAACATTTAGTTTTAATTATGTGTGTGTGTATATATATGTATGTATGTGAGTATGCACACATGAATGCAAGTTTCCAACAAGGCCAGAAGAGGGTATCAGATCTCCTAGAGCTGAAGTTACAGGTGGTTGGAAGCCGCTAACAACCATTGGTAGGAATTGAACTCATGTCCTCTGCAGGAACAGTTATGTGTTTCTTAACCACTGAGCCATTTCTCTAGCCCCATGCCTACTTTTTCATTAGGAGAGCAAATGGTCCAGCATTTTCATAAGCATAAGCTGGTGGAGAGTACAGAGCTCCCAGGTTCCAGTTATCAGTACATGGCTAAGACTTTCCTCTGTTTCCTGTCATGCTCCCCACCCCAGTGACCACTGGGAAACCACTTTTAGATACAGCATTATGACCATAAATTCAGCAACTCTAAAAGATAAGAACTATTTTGATATCACACCTCAAAAAGTTAATAATTTCCTCATATTGTGGAATAGCCAGTTCTCTACTGACGTGTTAACCCTCAGTGACTCCTAGTGGGTGCTCCAGAAACTGACACCTCCATTGGTTACTTCTGCCCCAGGCAGGAAGGTGTGGGATAAAGTTTTCTGAATATCTGTGTCTGCTTGGATCTCCCTCATCCTGCCATTCTTCTGAGCCTGTTTGTTGATGTTGTTTTGCTTTGCTTTGTTAATTTTTGTCTGGGAAAATGGCTCAGAGGATAAGAGCCCCTGCTGCACAAGCATGAGGACCTGAGTTCAAATCCCAAGAAGTCAGAATGTCAGCCATCAGGCATAGACACACAGTTACATCAGACGGAGTCTGCAAGTCTAACTGTAGCCTAAATGGGAAAGAGATTCCCCTCCACCACCACCTTGTCTGGAATCTTCCGAGGACAGTGTTGTCCTCATAGCTGAAATACTTGCTCTTCGGCTTTTAGAGTTCGTGCTAATATCCACTCTTCACTGTCTCTAGAGCCTCCCTCATTTTCTTGGGGTAAAGCTTGAAAAAGCTCAAGACTCACTCTTCTGTGCAGTTTGATTCTTTCCCAAGGTAAAAGTCCTGCAAATTCTAAGCAATCATGGAAAGATAGTTCAACATCTTCTAGCAATCCTTATTCCCCTACAAGGGCACTCTGCCTCATCTCTTTGGTCTTCATGTTATTGTTTGCAAACTGCAAAAGATGCACCCCAAGGGTTCCCTGCTTCTCTGTCCTTGAGGCAGAAGGGGGATCATCTCCATCTTTTTGCCAGAAATGAGGGAGAGTAATGAAAGAGAGCAACACTTTTTTCCCCTATAGCTTACAAACAAATGCTTTTTATTCTCTAGTAATTTTCCTGTCCTGGGTCTAGTGTCAAGCCTCCTTAGTTGAGAGGTCCCACAAGGATGAAAACCTTTTTGATGGAGTTCCTTCTATGAAACCAGCCCTTATATTTGATGTTTCCCTTTGATTTGTAGCAGATTTCATGTCACCAGCTCGTTCAAAACTTCAGACTTAACATCCCATCAAATGTGAAAGGTGGTAAGATCAGGATAGACAGTCAGGGAGAGGTCCATGCTTTGTTTCAGGGGTTTCAGTTTCTAAGTCAAGGAAGAAATTCTTAAGATAATTCAAAGTAAATTTGTTTGGAATTTCTGTTTTGTATTCATAAAACCTGTGGGCTCTCCAGGCTGTGGTGGTGCACACCTTTAATCCCAGAACTCAGGAGGCAGAGGCAGGTGCATCTCTGTGAGTTCAAGACCAGCCTGGTCTACAGAGCTCGTTCCAGGACAGCCAGGGTTACACAGAGAAACCCTGTCTTGGAAAACAACAACAACAACAAACCTGTGTGCTCTACAAATCTTTATATTTGTAATTGCATTATTTGTATTAAGTAATGATAAAAACAAAACCTTTAATTCTGGGAGCTGGAAAGAGGACTTAGAGGTTAAGAACACTTTAACTGTTCTTCCAGATGACCTGGGTTCTGTTTCTAGCACCTAGCTCACAACTGTCTATAACTCCAGTTCCAGGGGATCTGATGGCCTCACACAGACATATATTCAGGCAAAACACTAATGCGCTGTCTTAGGGTTTCTATTTCTGTGAAGAGACCATAGCGACTCTTATAAAGGAAAACAATTGGGGCTAGCTTACAGAATAGAGGTTCAATTCCCAGCAACCACATGGTGGCTCACAACCATCTATAATGAGATCTGGTGCCCTCTTCTGGCCTGCAGACAGAACACTGTATACATAATAAATAAATCTTTAAAAAATAAAATAAAGTGGATTGGGGATTTAGCTCAGTGGCACTGGGTTGGGTCCTCAGCTGGGGGTGAGGGAAAGTGGGCAGGTGGTGGTGGCGCATGCCCTTAATCTTAGTACTCCAAAGGTAGAGGCAGGAGGATCTCTGTGAGTTAGAGGCCAGCCTGGTCTCCAGAGTGAGTGCCAGGACAGCAGGGCTGTTACACAGAGAAACCCTGTCTTGAAAAAACACACACACATACACACACACATGGTGGGGGGGAGGACAGGAAGAAAATCAATCTAATTTCATTGAGCAAATGTCATGGAGTTCCTGCTCTGTGTCTAACCATCCCTGTCCATAGAAACTTCTGGAAAGATGATTGAATCTTCAAAGCATGGACATGAGTCGGCCAGGGGTCTGAGACAAGGAGAGCAACTTACAGGGGAACAGTAGAGTGGAGTGACAAAAGCCTAGGACTGTGTTTTTCTAGGAGTTTGAGGGGGTAAATGGTGGAAACAGGATGAAGACTGGGGGAGACTGGTCCACCTCCGGCACTGTGCTATGGATTGTGAGGGAGGAAACCATCACCACTTGGGGATGGAGAGGCTTCAGGGCAGCCAGGGTTGTGGTTCACACCAGAGGCTTCAAGGAAGCTCAAGAGCAGAGGGATACAGGGACTCTGGTTGATGACTCTGAGTTTTAGATTACAGAGATTTGGAAGGTTGGAGTGTTGTAGGGATCAAATAAAGGCTAGACTGCCTCTAGTTCTTCATACCGGTTAACAATGGCTGTGAGTACAGACTTGGAGTGGCCCAGTGCCGACACACAGCAGAGGCCAGCTGGGTAGAAGCCATGAGGCTAATGATACTCATCCCTTCATTCTTTCAGTCAAGCCTTTTCCTACTTTGAGAGGCTTAGTCATCGAAGCTTCCTGGGGAGATTTCTGAGGATCGGAAGGAATCCAATCCCATAAGCCCTGGAAGGTGCTATCATCTTCTCTGAGCCCTGGAAGGTGGTATCTTCTAAGGATGCAGTTTAAGTCTATAGTACTTTTTGTTTGTTTTATTTGTTAAGACAGGGAGAAATCAAGTATGGTGGGGAAGTGCTGTTAGCCATTGGTTGCTAGAATGGTCTTGGGAGGTGGAGGCCTAAAGATAAGGGTTCAAGGCCAGCATGAGTTACATTGTGAGACACTGCTTCAAACAATACAGCAGATGGGTATAGTGGTTCAACCTGTAATCCAGCACAGGGGAAGCTGGGATACAAAGATCATTAGTTTGAGACCAGCCTAGGCTACATACTAAGTTTCAGGCCAGCACAAGCTACTAAGTGAGACTCAGTCTCAAAAACCCAGGGCAGGTGAGATGGCTCAGTGGGTAACCGTACAAGCCTGATGACCTGAGTTCAACCCCTGAAACCCACAGTAGAAGGAAGCCCACTGCCAAAAGTCATCATTTGACCTCCACTTACACACTTTGGTATGCCCAGGCCCACACTCGAAGACACACACATCATATATACATGCACACACAGAGTAATAATACATTAAAAACAGGGTTTCTTGACAGGGTTTCTCTGTATAGCCCTGGCTGTCCTGGAGCTTGTTCTGTAGACCAGGGTAGCTGCCTCTGCCTCCCAAGTTCTTAAAGGTGTGTGCCACCACCACGGTCATAAATAGATAGAATTTTAATGTTTGGTTTAGACAAAGATAACATTTTTAAAAGAAAGATGAGGTGACTCCTTAGGCTCCCTGGTTCCTGTGCTAGGGAGGAAGGTTTTCATTAGCTGCCTAAGGCCTGGAGAATGGATTACATCAGAGAAGCAGCCCATGCCCCTTATGTGCAGTCCAGTGACTCACCTCCTTGCCCTCAGGGTGTCTAGAACCTGCTTTCTGCCAAGGAGCTGTGGGCTACAGTCTGAGGGAATGAGATCCTGAGCACTGAGGGAACTGGAAAGCCAAGACTACTCAAGACTTGGAAGAAGCCAGGGGCAGAGTTCCTCTGGGGTGATGATGGGGTGCCAGTTGTAGCATTCATTACCAGGTTACTGTGGTCTTGTCGGGAGACATAGGACAAATGTGTGTCTGTATATTCTCAGTCACAGAGTTTCAGAGGGTACTGACTAAAAGAGGGCACGGCCCGGGTTTAAGCAAAGCCATGTCCCAGCACTCCTCTGGACTGCCCACTTCATAATGTCTCCATCTCTCTCCTTCTAGTCCTGGACGCACAACATCCAGCGAGAAAAGGAGTTTCTACGGAAGCTGGTGAAAGCTCGCGTCATCACTGACCTAAGCAGTGGCATCTGAATGGGCCCAACACTGGGCCATAGAGGCTCACACCAGGAACAAGCAGCTGCCACCCACACAGGAGTCTTCCGACCCAGAGAAGGACAGTGCCAAGGGGCCCGAGGGCCAGTGAGGCCTTGGCAAGGCAACCGAAGCTGTGCCTGTTCCAGGCCAACATCAAAGACCAGCACTCTGCCTCAAAGCCTGGGTCCGTGAAGCCAGAGGGCTAGGAGGCCACTGGCTGTGACCAGCAGGCCCAGCATGCAGGAGGTGGGACATTTGGGAGCAAGAGTGCTGCCAGAATCATTTTTCCAATCAGTGTTTGGTGTATTATCATTTCGTGAATTTGGGTGTGGGGAGGGGAGGGATAATTTATTTTTAAATAAGATGTCACATTTGGTCCACATGCTGTGCAGAAAGAGGCCCACTAGAGGGCCCACCAGGCAGTGGTACCAGTGAGATCCCTGAAGGATGGAAGTGCCAGACCATGCTTCAGGGACACAGGGAGGTGGATAGCATTTCATCTAGTCTGCCATCTCCAGCTCATGATACACTTTGGCCTTCCTTTGGGGGGAGATGGAGTACTCCCTCTCCACCAGCCCCCAGTGTCCCACAGGGGAAACCCAGAGCCATCCCTTTAAAGCCAACAGGACAGCTCTTGGACAGGAGCAGAGAGAATTCAGGAGGCAGGGCCCAGCCTGAGGGGAATGGCTCCTCTCCATAGCTGTCCCTGATCCATGGGAGCAGTGCTCCTTCCTGACAAACTGTCAGGTGGTCTGGGTTTCTTGATGAGACTGCCGGCTCCATGGGTCCTACCCAGGACCAGAGGGAAGTGAGGCTCAAGGACCTTACCCAGGCTGCAGCAGCTGTCCCAGGCAGCCCTCATGGAAGCAATAAAGCTCTCCCCTGAACCTGGCCTCTTGTTGTTTTCTCTAACTTTTCTGGAAGAAACAGAAACACAGGGCTTTAACAGAACTGAACTCAAGGGTCTTCTCTCCAGCTCATAGACTCCTGGGTCCCTTTCACTTCCCATTCATGGGTAGGACCTTTGAGGTCTCCAGCTCAGCAGTAAAGAATGCTTACAGCTCTTACGGAGGACTCAGGTACAGTTCCCAGCACCCACATCCCAGCACTCATGGTCACCTGTAACTCCAGTTCCAGGGAATCTAACGCCCTCTTCTGACCTCCAAGGCTCCTGTGGTATACACACACTCAAACACACAAACATACACAATAAATAAGGACCAGCAGAAGAGAAGCCCACCGAGCACAGAGAAACCCACAGAGCAAGCTCCATTCCTGTCACCCATGGCTCCGCTTGGAAGTGGATATGGCCCATCCCCCATTAGTGCTCACCCCCTTCTCAATGGGAAAACAGGAAAGCCCCCAGCCCTGCCTTAGGCACCTCTGGAAACTTTAGAAAGAGCATCCATGCCCCAATTTCACCCCCTTAAAGCTCTGGAATCTTGAATCTGGACCCCTCTTGAAGCAACCCCAGGCAGGTCTGAGAAAGCTCAAATGTATATCCTGACATGCAATCATGGAGGTAACTTCCTTCCAGAAACTGGCCACTATGGCAGTAAGTGGGACAGCTGTTCCCTTACCTCTCCTATCTCAACCATCTAGGGCCTAGACATGCCTTGGTCCTCCCACTGGTAAGTCTCCTAACTACAGAGAGACCTGGCCATCCCAAGAACTACAACCCTCCCATATGTAGCCTACACTGTCAGTAGTAGCCCTGGCTGAAAAGACCACTTCATTCATCAGCCATGAGAAAAAGCAAGCTGTACAGCGCTCTTCCTCCCATCCCATGCAGTCCTGTAGAGTCTGGGGACGGCCCTCAAAGGCAGCAGAAGCACTGTCTGTGCAGTCAGACTTCAGTCTCAAGCCCTGCCCAAAACTGCTCTCTCCAAACCTGTGGTTAACCCTGGCTGTGTACCACAATCACAGATAAAGGAAACACGTAAATTTGCATCTGCCCACCCCAGGATTCTGAATCAGAACGGGGATGGGGCCCTGAAGTGGGTAGTTCTTAAAGGTCGACAAGGGTGGGTAACATAGCCAGGGTACATCTAGTCCACAGACATTCCCTGGGTACTCTTCCTCACTCACATCATCTAGTTGTGAGTGTATTGGTCAGCAAATACCAAATTGCCATCACTAGCCCAACTACCTTCTCTTTGCTCCTGGCTACAAATTCAGCGGCTTCCAGGGCATTTCCAGCAGGAGAGTCCACAGACCCTTCTGGTTCAACATACTCAACACTGAATTCATGCCGTCCCCACACACACACCTGAACCTCCCCCAGGGAGTGACAGCTCCTAGAATCTATCCTTGTTCCTTTGCCAATTTTACCACCTCACTTTGTCCAATCAGGCAGGCAAAAGGGGGTGTTAGAGATTGGGTCCCTGAAGCCCCTAGCTCCCCACACACAACCCTGCTCAGGATTCAACTTTTCGTCCCCAGCAGCCTGCACCCCTCTTGTGTCTTACTTGTCTCAAAACCACACTCTCCCCAGTGTAGTCATTCAATGAAAATGTGTCCGACCACTTCAGACCAGATCAGTGGTCCCTAGTATCTTTGCGATGTGCTTCAGACTAGTTAGTAAGACGTTTCCAATCATAGTCATCAACCATCCCACAGACACCCGTCAAATTGCCTTATCGCACCTCAAAACCCAGTTCAATACTCTGGCTCTCGGATTCTTCACCCCTGCCCCCCCCCACACACACACACAATCATTGCCTTCATTAAGACAGGGGACATGAGTTCCTTTGAGCTCCGAGACCCTGAAACTGAGCAATGAAACAGACTGTCCTTGGACGGTGGGAGCCCAACGCAGAGCCCTGCCGCTCCGAGGCAGCTGAGCTTTGTGGGGGTCCCGGAGTCACCAGTCGACGCTGCGGGGTAGCCAGCCAGCACCCCTGTGTCTGCACAACCCAAGCTGGAACTCTCCTCCAGGCTGCCCCTCCTTCGCCGCCTTCCCTCGCTCTCTCCCGCCCTCGGCCAGGCCTCCCACTTCCCTACTTTGCGTGTCTACCAACTTCGAATTCCCAGTTTGAGCGCCTCGCTGCTGCCCGCGATCTCTACTCTGCCTCCTGGGGTCTTCTCCCAATGTCTAGCCCCCACCTCTGGGGACCAAGCCCAGCCAGTGGGGACCGGATCTGAAGGGTGGAGCAGCCAGGTGAGCCCTGAAAGGTGGGGCGGGGCGGGGGCGCTCTGGGCCCCACCCCGGGATCTGGTGACGCCGGGGCTGGAATTTGACACCGGACGGCGGCGGGCAGGAGGCTGCTGAGGGATGGAGTTGGGCTCGGCCCCCAGATGCGGCCCGCGGGCTCTGCCAGCAACAAGTCCCTCGGGTCCCAGCCCTCGCTGCGACTGGGGCTCGGAGCTCTGCACTCGAGGTAAGCCAGCCTTCTTGCCCATCCCCTGACGGACGCTCCTAGGGCAAAAGAAGGGCCAGAAAGGTCTTCTCTCTCCCCCTTTTCTCTCAGCCTCTCTCTCTGGGCCCTCAGCGCACTGCCCCTCCCGGTCCCTCAGTCCCTCTTGTCGCTAGGCTGTTGGACCTTGTTAGCCCTCTTGGCTGGCTGTAATATGAGGCTCCCGCTGCCGCCACAGGGCACAGACCGGCTGCCAAAGCCCCACTTTTGGCTAAAAGAGGCGCTGCCAGGTGCACAACTCTGGGCATGATCCATGTGAGCTTCGGGGGAAAGCCCAGCACTCGTCCCAGGAAAGGTGCCTAGAAGGACTCGGTGCAAGACCCCCTGGGTGAGTATAGGGCTGGTGGATAGGGGTGGCAAGGGCTGAAGGACCAAATATCTCAGATGGCAAGGAAGGAGACTGGTTTGAACTGCCCTCGAGGGACTTGCTCCTGGGCTCCCCCTAGTGCAGATACCCCTAAGGCTGCCTTGTCTGACTTTCCCTCCATCTGGGAGAACAGTCACTAGCCTGGTCTCTGGGGATCTGAATCTGGTAAGCCAACAGGTACACAACTAGCCTTAGAGCACCACTTCCTGGATAAAGACCTGGGAGGAATGTGTCGTCGTCGTCGTCGACATCCCCATGTATTCTGTGTGCTAGCAGAAGGATGGAGGATAACATCTGGGACCCAAAAGGAGTCTAGCTAATGAGAACTCTTAAAGGTTCTGGGGGAGCCAGAGGGGTGGCTCACAAAGATGTGGTGTTCAGTAAAGTCGGCTGGGGTCAGGAAGGATGGTTCACGGGGAAACTCGTAGGAGCAAGGCTAGGGTGCCAGTTCCACAGAAGGCTGATGGCCCAGATGGCCAGCTCTTAGAGTGGTTCAGCTCTCTGAGACCAGGCTGGTGTAGAGGACTGGCTGGTCCTCCTGGGAATGGCTCAGAACTGAACGTGCAGAGGATGTGGAAAAGCCCCCCCCCCAAGTCAGCAGGCTTGGCAAACTCTGCCCCCTGGTGGCCACAGGAAACCATGGTCCAGACATTGTGTTTTCCAGAAGTCCCTTCACTCCCCGGATAATAGGCGGGCTCTTGGGGGACATCTGTGGGCCTAACGGAGAACTCAGGTGACTCTGGGTCCAGAGCAGAGATTGCAGGAGGCTTAGGCTCCCTCCCAGTCACCAGACAACTCAGAGTGACCACCTGGCACTGTAATTCTCCAGAGCTCTGCTTCCTCCCCTGGGGGGGTTGGAGCAAATATTGAGTAATCGCTAAGGGTGTCCAGTTACTACTTTCTCCAGCCACCCTGGTACCTTCAGCCCTGAAGTACAAAGCAAGAGGGTCCTAGAAGACAGGACCACAGCTGTGTGAGTTTACCCCCGTGACCTTAGACAATCTGAGCTTAGCCGAGCGTCGTTTGCCAATCTGGAAAAGTGCACCAAGGACCTCGTGTAGTTGTGAAGGAGGAAATAATGCAAAGCACCTGTCGCAGGCAGAGTACGTTCTCCATGCAGCTACTGATGCTGGGCTGACTCCAGTTATCTAAGCCCCAGGGTAGCTTTGAGGAACTGAAGTAGAAGGACGAATATCCAAAAAGATAATTAACCCCTTTTTCAATTTGCAGCTGCCTCAAAAAAGTGGGTGAGGAAACAGGCCCACGAAGGCTGATGGGAGCTCCTAGTGTTGACAGAGATGGAACTGGGACTTGGAGACCCTACTGCATTGCCCCACTGCCTCCGGCCTAGGTGGCAGGTGAGTCATTCCCTTGCATTTCCCAGCTGAGTTTAATTGTGGAAAAAGATTAGAACACAGCCTGGGCAGGGGTCAGACATGAAAGGGGAAATATCAAGAGGGAGGAGCCAGTCATAGGAGGAAAGGAACAGGATTTCTCTGGATGGTGAGTGGCCTCAGGTGTTTCCTCCTCTGGGCTCCCAGAAGCAGCAAATGTCCATTAAACCGAAGCCCTTCCCTACACTAGCCACCCAGCTAGGAACCCAATTAGAGTGGTCTGTGTTCCTCCCTGAGTCTCCTCTTTTCTCTGTGCAGCCAGCCTTGTGGCCAACCCTAGTTGCTCTTGCCCTGCTGAGCAGCGTCACAGAAGCTTCCCTGGACCCCATGTCCCGCAGTCCCGCCGTTCGCGATGGTCCCTCGCCAGTCCTGGCGCCCCCAACCGGCCACCTGCCTGGTAGGTGAGAGCGCGACTGGGCGGTGCAGGGGCGAGACTAGTCCTAGACCCCCCCCCCCACTCCCGAAAGTGACTAAGTCTCATTCCAGGGGGACGCACTGCGCATTTGTGCAGCGAAAGAGTCCTGCCACCACCGCCACAGTCTCCCCAGCCTGCACCCCCGCCGCCAGGTCCCGCGCTCCAGTCTCCTCCCGCTGCGCTCCGCGGGGTACGCGCAGCGCGTGCAGGGACCCGGAGCAGCCGGGCGCGGGCCACTGATGCGCGCAGCTGTCGCCTGCGCTCGCAACTGGTGCCCGTGAGCGCTCTCGGCCTGGGCCACAGCTCCGATGAGCTGGTACGTTTCCGCTTCGGCAGCGGCTCGTGCCGCCGAGCACGCTCCCCGCACGACCTCAGCCTGGCTAGCCTACTGGGCGCCGGGGCCCTGCGGTCGCCCCCCGGGTCCCGGCCGATCAGCCAGCCCTGCTGCCGGCCCACTCGCTATGAAGCCGTCTCCTTCATGGACGTGAACAGCACCTGGAGGACCGTGGACCACCTCTCTGCCACTGCCTGCGGCTGTCTGGGCTGAGGATGCTCTCCAAGCCTTCGCACACTGGACCTTTACCCATGTGTCGCCCTGCCTGGAACAATTCCACCTGGCTTCACTAGTCAGGAACCTCAGCCCGAAATCGAGGCTGCAGACCTCAGGCCCCAGGCCGGTGAGTGACAGACATGGAGCCGGAGAGATGACCTCACCACGGACCAAGCTCCAAGGCGCTCATGGATCCCAGCTCTACAGACGACGCCAGAAACCTCAGCTAAGGATAACTCCTCTGGGAGAATCCAGAAATGGCCCCAGGCCCTGGGGAATGAATTTTGAGGAGATAACATTGTAGTCACGTTACTGAAGCCGGCAGCCTGGTGTTCACTTGTGGAAGCCGAAGCCCTATTTATTATTTCTAAATTATTTATATTTACCTTCCTGGTTTGTCAACTCTTTTCCTGGACAATGGGGGATGGGTAGAAGAGGCTGGATGAAGATGTGCCCCCGGCCTCTCACACTGACTCGGCAACCACAGTGTCGACTTGGATCACCTACTGCTTGTCCCTAGGGTGGTTCTGAGATGGGAGGCACAGATGGGTGATCAAGATGCACAGCTCTCAGCACTTAGGCCTGGGTTACCTGTGGAAAAATAAACTATATAGCCTTCTGTGGAGAAAAAGGCTGCCCTGTGACCACGGGCACCTTTGAGGCCCCTGCTTAGTGGGTAAAGACACAGAAAACCATGCTTTGTCCCACCATCGATGTCGGTGTCTTACCGTGCAAGGACCTATCTTGAAGGCTCCCTGACAGGTGTGCATGCTGCTTTCACTCATAGGTAGTCAACCCCTGAAGTAGGCCAGGGCAAGAGAAAGAACATCTGAAGGGCTAAGGATGCCAGAGGGGGCACCAGGGTGCTTGTTCATGGGAAGGAAGCACAGAGCAACATGAGATCAGGATACAGGAAAGTGCTGAGGGCCTCCAAAAACCGAGAATTTTAGGTGATGAACAAACATATTTATTTATTCACCCAATAAACACTGACAATGAAATGTCAGCTACTATGTAGACACTAAAGGTGCAGAAGTGAGGCTGCAGATGTAGCTCAGTTGGTAGACTGCTTGCCCAGTGTGCTCGAAGCCCTCGGTTTGGTTTCCAGCACCACATAAACAGGGTGTAGTGTCACGTGCCTATCATACCAGCACAAGAGGCAGAAGCAGAAGGATCAAATATTCAAGGGCATCCTCAGCTACATACTGCGTTCCAGGCTACCCTGGGCTGCGTGACAGTCTGTCAGGGAAAACCAAGTGAGAAACATAATCTCTGTCCTTAAGCTCCACCCAGGAAACACAGTCAAGAAACAAGCAGTGACATACCTAATCATTTAAGTTCAATGTGGCTAACGGCATGAAAAACAACTGGAAGCTAAGAGGGACACATTTTCTCCCTGTGAGAAAGTCAATATGGTCCCTGGCCTTTCACACTGTCCTCAGGTCATCTCCAAAAAGGTCAGCACAACCATCTGAGCTTTTCTGTGTGGCTTTGAAACAGTGTTTTATATCAGGTGTGACAGTGCATTCTTGTAATCCAGCACTTGAGGTATGGAGGCAGGAAGATAAACTCAAGCTCATTCTCATCTACACAGCAAGTTCCTGTCCATTGAGGGTTACATGAGAACTTGTCTGAAAGAGAAAAGAGAGAGAAAGGAAAACTGGTCCTGGGCATTTATATTGAAGAGGCCAGTATGATCTTTGTTCTTTAAAACAAGACAGGACACTTTTTATTTGTGTGTAGATGGGCATGCATGTATGTGTGGAGGTCAGAGGTCCTCAACCTGTGTCTTCCTTCCTTGGTTGCTTTCTGCCTTAACTTTTGAGACATAGTCTCTCTTTGAATCCTAAGCTGGCCAATTTGGCTGGCCAGAAAACCCAGGGGTCTTCCTGTTCCTACCTCCCCAGCTCTGGAAATTATAGGCATATAATTTAAAAAAAAAAGTAATTGCATTTTGTTTATCTTATTTGTGCGTGTGCATGGGTAAATGTGCACACATTTAGAGGTCAGGGAACAACTTATGGGAGTCAGCACCTTCCTTTACTGTGGGGTCATGGATCAAACCAAGATCATTAGGCTCGGTGGCAGGTACCTCTACCCATGGAGCCATCTAGCTCAGCCTCAGCACTGGGCTTTAATGTGCTGATGGTCAAATTCAGGTCCTCACTCCTTGTGTTTGTGCCAAAGCACTTTAGTGACTGACCAGCTCCCAGGCCTCCATTAGGAAAAGGTGCCTTGTCTAAGGGATTATGTTATAACACAGGTATTGCTGGGAAACAGAGACACACTTGTCTGGAGCACAGCAGGATGGCCTGAGTGGAAGAGATGTGAGAGCCTCTAGCAAACAGAGCCCACCTGAGAAAATGCTGCTACCAAGAAACCATGCTTGATTCTGTTCTATTGTGTTTAGAATTCCTTTTTCAGCTTTTGTCAGGTTTTACATGGAAATTCTTGCCAAACATTTGGGCACCACATGTGTCCTCTAAGGAACACTTCAAACCTGCCTTTAAGTTTATTTCATCTGGAATGCATGGTTCTTGGTGCCCCCCCCCCACCCCTCCCACAGTTATCTGCTCTGGCAGATAGCCCTTGTCAATGACTCTCAGCCAAGGAGCCCTAACTTATCCCTGGCCATAGATCTCTGTGGTGTGGTGTCTGGGGACTGACTGGGGTCTCATCCTGAAAAGGAGGGGTTGGGGCCAGGTGGTGTTGGTGCATGCCTTTAATCCCAGCACTTGGGAGGCAACCAGGTGGATCTCTGTGAGTTCGATGTCAGCCTGGTCTACAAAACAAGTGCCAAGACAGGCTCCAAAGCTACACAGAGAAACCCTGTCTTGAAAAACCAAAAAATTAAAAAAAGAAAGAAAAAAAATCAGGGGTTGGAAAGAAAGTTGAGAAAAAAAATTTAAGAGACTGTATACCATGATTGTACCTTTGTTGAGCTCAGAAGAATCCTACCCTGCCTTGGAAACAGAGCCTTCTAAGAAGCCCCTGTGAAAGCTATGGGCTGTCTCCTCACACCAATGCTGAAAAAGTTACTGATATTTAAGTCCAGGCAATATGTTTGGGGGGGGCAGGGGACACCTTCTAAAGGTCATTTAGAGGTCCCATGGAGTCCTTGGCCCCATGTGATGCTCTATTCTAGGTACCTCCTGTAGCTGGATTGATTCCTCTGAATGTACTGAGGCTCCAGTATCAGGGCTTTGTCAATTATTTACAATTCACGCCACACTTCAACCTTCCTCTGTTTCACAGCTCCTCCTCTGTATTTATACTGACTCGAACAGAATCACATTATAAAAAGAACTGATGTTGGAACTATAGGGTATAGGGTGGGGTATCTGCTCTGACTTCTCCTTCTCTAAAAGAGACTTTCCGGAGGTCTCAGGGACCTCAATGGCCACTTCCTAGAAAATTTACCTTGACTGGATCCCTCGCCCTTCTGTTTCCTTCCACTACTCCAGCTGTGGCCCTGGGGCTCTGAAACTGAACCCACCCCCAGGGTTCTCTTCACTCAGGGTTTCAGTTCCCACCTACAGGCTAACAGTGACCACACTTTATCCTAGCCCCTTCTGAGCCCTAAGCCTATAATCTAATGATTATCCATGTACCTTCAAGCTACACATACCTTCCTGATGTCTTCAGCCCTGCTCTTCATCCTTGTCTACCCTCTGATACTTCACACTGCTAGCCTCCCCTCCTTCCAGCTTCTCAGCTACTACACTATTCCCTTCCCAGCAATCTCTACCTGATGGCACAAGACAGAAACTTGGGCAACATTCTTGACTCCTTGAGCTTATCCACTGGTCCTAAAACAGTAATTTGCTGCTTCTGTTGACTGTTCGCTGAAACTCTATTGCTGAAGACACCATGCCCTCTGGCTTGTAGGACATAGAGGAATAAAGCTTCCTCCCTGGCTGCTGGAAGAGAATCCACAGTCTTCCTTAGTTGTGAGCCTCACATGCTGCACTACTGACCTGTCAGGCAAGATGTACCCATTGGTGTAATAGTGGCAAACCTGGCATGGGGGTAACCACTCGCTTCCTGATTGAACTTGAGGTCCACTGCACAAGGGGGAATTCATATCTGGTATTGTAAACCTAGTCAAACATTCATGGCTGGAAAGTCATAGGCCATAATGGAGAAGCCACATCTGTCTGTTGTTTTGCTAAATTGACATGATGTGCCCAGCAAACTGCCTTCGAAATAACCATAAATGTGTATGCCCAGGGATCAGTACTGCTGTTGGTTTTGGTCAGAGAAGCTTCTCTTTGTAGTGGGCAGCAGTAACTGCAGAGACTTGCAGTGGGTCAATGCTAAGCATAAGTGACTGCTGAATGCTCAACCATAAGTGAGACATCTGTATCACACCCTCAAGGCTCTGGGAAATAGCAGAAGAAGAGGAGCAAAATGTAAGTCAGCACAAGCCTCGGTCCATCAATATCCTGTCATGGATCATGGAGGGGCTCTTGAGGCTCCATCTCCCTGTGAGGAGGATTCATAGACAGTTAATGGTTCATGTGGTAGGGGAGAGGCATTTTTTTCATTGGTAAGATGTCCATGCTCCTGTAACCGACCCTAGTAGAATACATTGGGACACACACAGACACACACACATATGAACACAACAACACAGCATGAAAATAGATGTTGGGAGCCATACAGCTTGGCATGAACCTTTAGGCCAAACTTGGCAAGCCACAGGGTTATAGAACTGTCTTTTGATTATAAATGGCTTCTAGAAGCATGAGCACCCAAAAGGACCAACATGACCCAGATGGCAATCCTTTGTTCCAACCACAGGCCCACTTACCTAAGCAACCCTCCCGTGTCCCACCACTTACCTAGGTAACCCTCCGTCTCCCCCCCACACCCATGAACTTTTACCCTGCCAACATCCTCTTTCTATAGTTTTCTAACATCCTGCTTAAACTAACACCTGGCTCTTGGCCTTTTCTCCCCCTCCCCTTTACCCCCTACTACTGACTATATAAGCTAGCCTGGAAAAAATAAAATTTGCCACTTGATCAGAATCCTGTCTTGTGGTCATTCTCTCGAGTCTCTTGTCCCCATTCCCCTCCCTGGACTTCTTGCTCTAGGTTGCTGTCCCACAGGTCGGGACAACTACAAATAGAAAGGGGATTAGTTGGGAAAAGAAAGGATATCAGTAGGCGGGAGACAAGAAAGATGAATATGATTAAGATACATTATCTATTACATTATGAATATATGTAAATGTCACTATGAAATCCATTATATATAACTAATATATGCTAATAAAATATTATTTTTTATTTTTACTTATTTATTTTTGTTTCTTGAGATAGAGCCTCTCTACATAGCTCTGGCTGTCCTGGAACTCACTAGGTAGACCAGGCTGACCTCAAATT